GCAGACCTGAGGAATGTAGTTCTCCTTGAAGTAGCTTCTCAGCTTGGGGCTGGCATTGCGTAGCGAGGCCATGGCAAGAGGCCCCACTGCGCTCCCCTCCTGCTCTCCACCGCTGGCGGGGCAGGAGCCCTGCGGGGGCAAGGGGCGGGCGCGTCCCTGGTTGCCCGGGCAACTGCGGGGCGGGGCGGGGAGGGATGGGGCGGGGCGTGCCGTATCCCGGCGACCCCAAGCCGGAGGCCGCGGGGAGGGAGGTGGGCCCTGGCCCGGGCGGAATGGGCCTGGGAGGAAGTGCTGGGAAGCCCGCCTCCGGGCGGCGGCAGTACCTGTGTGTTCCCTCCGGGCGCCCAGTGTGTGCAGTTCTACACGGAGTCCGGCTCCCCTCGAGCCGCCCCACACCCCACCTCTGCGGAGCCGCGGCAGCGTCGGGGACGGAGCGGCAGTGCTGCTGTTTTAGCAGCGCCGCTTCCGGGAGGCGGAGCTCGGACTCCCATTTCCTTCCTCCTCCGGCGGTCAGGCTCCCGCTCCTGGGGCGGCGGTTCCCGCTGGCTTTGCAGACCCCTGCGCCCGCCCCGCAGAGCCTCCTGCTCCAGGCCCCGCGCTGTGCCCTGGCTCCGGCGGCGACATGGGCGGCGCCCGGGACGCGGGCTGGGTGGCGGCGGGCCTTCTCCTTGGGGCCGGCGCCTGCTACTGCATTTACAGGCTGACGCGGGGCCAGCGGCGAGGCGGCCGCGGGCTCCGGCTGCGCCCCTCGAGGTCCGCAGGTGAGGCCACAGGGTGCCCGGCAGGTGGGTAGGGACAGGGGACAAGGGCACCCTAGGGGTGGGGGTCGAAGACGCCGCCGGCGCTCGTGGCTTGCCTGTGCTCCAAGTGCAAGGAGCCCAGGCACAAGGGAGGCCCAGGTGTAGTGGGAGGATTGTCCGCTCGATTGGGTGTGTGTAGGGTTCTGAGCCGCCTCCCTGCCTCCACTTCTTTGTTCAAAATCCTGGAATGAAAAATTGCCCAACTTTCCTGCCCGAGTCCGGCGTCACAGCTGAGGATTAGGTTTCTCAAAAGCATGTTGATTGCCTCTTGCGTTAAAGCTTGCTCCCGGCGGTTCTGTTACCGAAGGGATTCCCAGGCTCTGGACAGGGTGTTGGCGGAGCCTCGAGCAGTACATGAAATTATGCGTGCAATTACCCTGGCAGAGAGGACGCCAGAGGGGGACAGTTCTGCCTGGACTCAGCCCATACTCTGAAAAGGGAGGTACCTTGAAGTCACCGTGGTCTATATGTATGCAGAGTTGCAGAGAGATGCTGGAGATAGATGTAAATATAGCTATTTCAAAATGGAACAATTGCCACTCTCCTGGCGGACAAGTACAGTATTAGGTTTCTGACCAGAATCTGATTGGTGCATTGAAGAGGATTCTAACAATTTGCTGAATGTTTTGGAGACATAGCTAAGGTCATGGAAACTGTTAGGGCAGTAATTAAAAACAAAATCTGCCAACCAAGAAACTCGTCTCTACAAATGTAGAAAAGAACTAAATAGCTTTATTATGGAATAAGCATTAAACTAGATTGCTACACCCATCACAGGCAATCTGCTAATGGGATTGCAAAGATAGAATTCTCACCTCTTTATGTACCCAAACAGATGTAACCTATTTCGTATTACCTACGTGTTCTCAAGATAAACAACTTGTCTTTAAGAGGACTTGACAGCACCATTTGCTACTCATAGTTAATCCTAAATTCACTGGTAGTTGGGGTGGCTATTTGTGTTAACTAATTGCCTTTATCCAGAGGGAAAATAAGATTTCTCAGTATCTTTATGATAAACAGGTGGTTACAACATGGAGCCATGTGCCAAACCTAAACTCATAGAGACAAGATCAGCTCCATCTTCTTTGATGTTTCAAACAGATAATCCCAAAGTCCCTTAGACTTTCTTGGGTTGTAAACTGGCAAGAAGTTTACCTAGCTTTTAAAAAGATGTATATTTATATCAGAGACAAAGAAATTACAAGATTGCTCAAAGCAATGCTCTAAGAAAAGGGGTGGGGGATCTCTTCCTTTTGGCATAAGGGAAAAATCCATTTTTTAAAAAAGAGATGCACTTATTCTTACTTACAAATCCTAATTTGTTGTCTTTGTGTCAGAGATGTTTCTGTATAAGTAAATGATAAGTTGGCCTGGACTCATACCTTCTCAATTACATTGACGAAGACTTGGGGTCTTCTGTAGTTCCATACAAATATTAGGGTAGTTTATTCTATGAAAAGTGCCATTGGAATTTTGATAAGGATTACATTAAATCTGTAGATTGCTTTGGGCGATGTAGACATTAATATTAATTATTCCAATTTGTGAGAACAGAATATTTTTCCATTTACTTGTGTCATCTTCAATTTCTTTCATCAATATTTTATAGTTTATAGTACACATACAAGTCTTTCACTTCTTTGATTAAATTTATTCCTAGATATTCTTTTTGATACAGTTGTAAATAGGATTGTTTTCTTAGTTTCTCTTTCTGATAGTTTGTTATTAATGCATAAAAATGGAGTTGATTTTTGTATATTGATTTTGTATCCTGCAACTTTGGTGAATCCATTTATTCTAACAGTTTTTTGGTGGAGTCATTAGGATTTTCAGTATATAATGTTTTCTGTAAATAGAGTTTTACTTCTTTTTTTCTGATTGGATACTTTTATTTTTCTTGTCTAATTGCCCTGGGTAGGACTTCCAGTACTATGTTGAATGAAAGTAATGAGTGGGTATTTTTGTCTTGCTCATGAACTTTCAGTTTTTCACCTTTGAGTATGATGTGAGTGTGGGCTTATCATACCTGGACTTTATTACATTGAGGTACATTCCCTTTATACTCACTTTGTTGAGAATTTTTGTCATGAATGGAGGTTGAATATTGTCAGCTGCTATTTCTGCCCCTAGTAAGATGATCATAGGATTTTTGTCTTTCATTTTGTTACTGTGGTGTATCACATTGATTGACTTGTGGATGTTGAACTATCTTTGCATCCCAGGGATAAATCCCACTTGATCATAGTGTATGATCCTTTCAATGTATTGTTTGCCTTTTTTTTTTTCTTTTTTTTTTTTTAAGATTTTTGCATCTGTACTTATCAGGTATATTGGCCTGTAATTTTCCTTTCTTGTACTTTCCTTCTCTGATTTTGGTATCAGTGTAATGCTGGCCTCATAAAATGAGTTTGGAAGAGTTTGAGAAGGGTTGGTATTATATCTTTTTTAAATGTTTGGTAGAATTCACCATGCAGCCTTCTGCTCCTGGACTTTCGTTTGTTGGGAAGTTTTGATGACTGATTCAATATTCTTACTAGTAATTGGTCTGTTCAGATTTTCCATTCTTTCATGATTCAGTCTTAGTAGTTTGTATGTTTCTAGGCATTTTTTCATTTCTTTTAGGTTCTCCAATTTGCTGACATATAATTGTTTATAGTAGTTTATTATGATTTTTTGTATTCCTGTTATTGTAATGTCTCCTATTTCATTTTTTATTTTATTTCAGTCTCTTTTGCTTGATGAGTCTAACTAAAGCTTTGTCTTAGTTTATCTTTTAAGAAAACCAGCTCTTAATTTTGTTTATCTTTTTTGCTATTTCATTTATTTCTCTTCTGATCATTGTTATTTTCTTCTTCTTCTAACCTTGAGCTTAGTTTGTTCTTATTTTCTGGTTCCTTAAGGTATAACTTAGGTTATTCAAAATGCTTATCACTATGAACTTCTTTCTTAGAACTGCTTTTGCTACATTTTTATAAGTTTTGGTATGGTGTATTTCCATTCTCATTTGTCTCATATTTATTTTCCTTTTTGATTTCTTTGATTTATTGGTTATTCAGTATCATTTTGTTTTATCTCCACATATTTCTGATTTTTCCACTTCTCTTCTCGTAATTTATTTCTAGTTCATATTGTTGTGGTCAGAAAAGATGTGATATGATTTCAGTCCTCATAAATTTATTAAGACTTGTTTTGTGGCCTAACATGATTTATCCTGCAGAATGTTTCATCTACACTTGGGAATTATATTCGGCTTTTTGATGGAATGTTTTATAAATGTCTGTTAAGTCCACCTGGTCTATTATCTCCAGTGTTTCCTGATTGATTTCTGTCTAGATGGTCTATTGATGAAAGTGGGGTATTGACTATTTTTCCCTTTAGGTTTGTTAATATTTGCTTTATATATTTAGGTGCTCCTCTGTTGGGTGCATAAACATTTACAAATGTTATGCTCTTGTTGGATTGACCCTTTTATCATTCATTATATAATGTCCTTCTTTGTCTCTTATTTCCGTCTTTATCTTAAAATCCATTTTGTCTGATATCAGTTTAGCTATCTCAGTTTTTTCATGTTTTCCATTTGCATGGAATATCTTTTTTCATCCCTTTCATCTGTGTGTCTTTAAAGCTGAAGTGAGTCCCTTGTAGGCAGCATATAGTTGCTGCGATATTATGATTTATGATAAGAAATATGTATTTGTTCTTCATCCCCATTTCTGGCACAGAGCTCCTGAAACCCTTAGAATTTTCTAAGTGATGAGAGCCATAAAAGTGTGTCTTTTGTTATATTAATGAGATGACTTTTGGAAAGTGCCTAAGGGTGGAGGCTGGTTTTCAGTGGAGCAACCTTGCGATTATAAGATTGGGACTTTCAGTCACACCTCTCTGTCCTCCAGGAAGATGGGAGGGGCTGGAGATTGAGTCAATCACCAACGGCTTTCAGTCAGGCCTATGTAGTGAAGCCTCCATAAAAACCCAAAAGGATGATATTTGGAGACCTTCTGGGTTAGTAGACATGTGGAGATTTGGGTGAGTGGCACACCCAGAGAGGACATAGAAGCCACATGCACTTTTCCCATACCTTGCCCTATGCGTCTCTTTTATCTGTCTATTCCTGAGTTAAATCCTTTGTTTTTTTTCCAGTTTATTTAAACTTAAAAAAAGAACAGTTCACTCATTTCTCCTCTACTCTACCCACCTCCCCACAACCCTCCACCTCTGGCAACAGAGATCTGTTCTCTGTTTTTGTGAGCTTGGTTTGATCTTTCTTTTTTTCCCCGCCTTACATTCCACATGTAAGAGGAATCATGTGGTATTTTTCTCTGTCTGACATTTTCACTTAGCAAAATGCCCTCACAGTCCTTCCATGTTGTTGCAAGTGGCAAGATTTCATTCTTTTTATGGCCGAATAATATTCTATTGTATGTATATACCACATTTTCTTTATCCATTCATCCATTGTTGGACACTTAGGTTGTTTCCATATCTTGGCCATTGTAAATAATACTGCAGTGAACATGGGGATGCATATATCTTTTTGAATTAGTGTTTTCATTTTCTTTGTATAAATATCCATAAGTGGTATTACTGGGTCATGAGTCACATGGTAGTTCTATTTTCAATTTTTTGAGGAATCTCCATACTGTTTTTCATAATGGCTGTACCAATTTACATTCTTAACAACAGTGCAGAAGGGTTCCCTTACATACTTGCCAACACTTATTTTTTTGTCTTTTTGATAATACCCAAGATTTTAATCCATTATGAGTTTATATTTTGTATGGTATAAGATAGTAGTCCAGCTTTATTATTTTGCATGTGGCTGTCCAATTTTCCTGACATCATTTATTGAAGAGATTGTCCTTTCCCCATTGTATATTTTTGGCTCCTTTGTCACAAATTAATTGATCATATATGTGTGAGTTTATGTCTGGAGACTTTAGGGTTTTCTATATATATATCATGTCATTTGCAAATATTGACAGTTTTACTTTTTCTTTTCCAATTTGGATGCCTTTTATTTTTCTTTCCTAATTGTTCTGGCTAGTACCTCTGTTGAATAATACTCCGTTGAATAAAAGTAGCCGGAGTGGGAATCCTTGTCTTGTTGATCTTAGAGGAAAATTTTTCATCTTTTCACCATTCAGTATGATGTTTGTTAGCTGTGGGCTTGTCATAGCTATTATTTTGAGGTACATTCCCTTTATACTGCTTTGTTGAGAGATTTTATCAAAACTAGGTGTCGAATTTTGTCCAGTGCCATTTGCATCTATTGAGATGATCATATGATTTTTATCTTTCATTTTGTTAAAATCGTGTATCATGTTGACTGATTTGCAAATGTTGAACCATCCTTGCATTCCTGGAATAAATTTAAGTTGATTGTGTTGTATGAACCTTATAATGTATTGTTGAATTTGGTTTGCCTATTATTTTGTTGAGATTTTTGCATCTTTGTTCAAAGATATTGGTTTGTAATTTTCTTCTCTTGTGGCATCCTTGTCTGGTTTTGGTATAGGGTAATGCTGGCCTTGTAAAATGAGTTTGGAAGAATTTTCTCCCTCTTAGTCTCTATTTCATTTATTTCTGCTCTAGTTTTTATTTCCTTCCTTCTACTAATTTGGGCTTCCTTTGTATGTTAAATCGAAGCCTGCTCCTCAGGCCACAACTATTTAGATAAGAAAATATACCTCTTTCAGGAAAAAACTGGTTTCAGTCTACTACTTCTGCTGCTCCCTGGGGTATTAGCCTTAGGGAATCTGCTCAAGCCATTTACTGTCTTTTAATTTGCTCTAGCCTTGTGGGTCTTGTGGAGGGAAGTCCCATTGGCTTTCAAAGCTAGATGTTTTGAGGGCCCATTTCTCAGGTGGTAGTCTTAAAACTGGAGCACAGGATATGGGGCCCTTCACTCCTCTGGAAGAATCTGGGAGCTGTGAATTCCCTCCCAGTTGTGTTTTGCTGCAGCAGGTGTGGGTTTAGGGCAAAATTGTGTCTCAGCCTCTTCTACCTATTTTGATGTGTTTTTTTTTTTTTCTCATTTGTCCGATATGTAGGAGTCACTCAGTTTCCAGATTTCTTTCTGAGGGATTTGTTCCCCATTTAGCTGTAGATTTGGGGTACATATGGGAAGAGGTGATTTCAGTACCTTCCTACATCACAATCTTGAACCAGCACCAGATGATCTTTCTTTGCCTTAAAGTTAAAGAAATTTGTAATTACTATACTGTTGAGACTATTCAAGAGCATTGGAAAAGATGGAAATCGTCGCAATTAATTCAACAATCTAACAGCAAAACCTGACAAGGATAGCATGAAAAGACTATAAATCTGTCTTAATTATAAATGAAGATATAAAAATCTTATATAAAATGTTAGCAAATTAACTCCATCAGGGAATTAAAGTAACTATATAATATATAGTATGCTAATTATATATAATGTTATAAATATAATATGTAACTTAATAACATCAATTATATATAATAATATATAATATACCAATAATATATCAGGAAATATATTAGTGTAATTTATTGCATTAATAGATTAAAAGCAAAACACATGATGACCTCATAATAAAATAGCATTTGAATATTATTTCTGATAAAAACTTTCAGCAAGTTAGGAATAAATAGAAGGAAATGTTCTTAAGTTGATGGAGAATATCCATCAAAAGCCAAAAAGCAAACATATTTAATGGTGGAACACTAGTAGCATCTTTACTAAATTCAAGAACAAGAGAAGAATTGTTCCTGCTGCCACAACTACTATTCATTATTATCCTGGAGTCATAGCTAGCTTGAGAAGACAAGAAACAAATGTGTAAATATTAGAAAGGAGACAAAATTATAATTAGTAGGTGACATAATAACTTATTTGGAAAAAACCCAAGAGAATCAACTGATTAACTTTTAGAAGTAGAGTTTAATAAAGTAATTTGAGTACAAGATAAATATATCCAAATCAATAGCTTTTCGTATGTAAGTAATAACCAATTCAAAAATTTAGTTGAAAAGATCTCATTCATGATAGCTTTCATAAAAACTTTAAAAACTAAGAATACATCTAGCAAGAAGCCTATATGGAGATAATTTTAATGAAAGACGTAAGACTACATAAACAGGTAAGCATATTACCTGTTTGGATATTACTTGGTTGGAATGAGTCTGTATCATGACAATTATCTTGAACTTTATCTTGCTATAATGTTATTATTTGGTTGTCACTTTTCATTTCTTGTGAGAATTATAATTTCTCCTCAGTTTACTCGAGGAGATGGTGAACCACTGAACCTGAAATTCTTTTACAGTCTTATTGGTACAAAGCTAAGTGGAGAACTAGGACACACAGGTTTGCCTCACCATGTAATAGCAGTTCAAAAATTCACCAGTGGAGAAGCTGGGTATTTGGTGATCACCATCCTCTAAAGTGTTGAGAGTTTTAGGTTTATTTCTTTACCGAAAAAGTAACACCGTTTTTATTACAAATGCAAGCACAGAAGTTAGCATTTATGTACAAAATTTAAATGACTAAGTGGAATAGTGGTATAGGGGAAGTGAAAATATCTGGATTCTAGAGCCAATTTTGTTATTAACCAGTTTTGTGTCGTCTTAATAAAAATAATAACAAAACTATCCCAGACCTGCACAGTATTGTAGGCACTATTAACTCCCACTTAATAGATGAAGAAAATGAGGCTTAGAGAAGTTCAGTAGCTTAGCTGGAGTTAGAGCTAGATGGTGCCTTAGCCTTGGCTTACTTTAAACTAACACATTGCACCCCCTCCTTTCAAGTGAAAATTCTATGGTTTGACACTTTTCCCCATCAAATTTTGACTACTTAGAAAATAAATTGGTATAGTTTTAAAGGAAAAAGTACAGGTGTGACATCATATAGTACCTATTGTTATATAACCTTCTCCTCTCCCCCACCCTCCACTCCCAACAGTGTCCTGTGAGCACATACACTGTCTGACCTATCATCATAGTTTCACTTTTAAAGAATCGTGTTCTATGTTTATAACACAATTGTGTTATAAAAATGGTTTCTGGTTTTCCTGCGGTGATTTCTGTAAAGAGGGTTTAAAAAAAAAAAAAAAGTTAGAGCTAAATTCTAAAAGTCACTGAGCAGATCCAGCTTTTAACTATTCTAGCTTTTACTCAAAATGATTTCTTTTGTCATCACCCCCAGCAAGACTTTTTTTCTAGCATCCATCAATGCTTTGTTCTTATAAACCAAACAAAAATGCCACACCAGAAAACACAATTGGGTTACTGCCATAACTTTTCTCCTGCCTGAGGTGCTCCTAAAATCGTGATCAAAAAAGTTCTGCCTAATGTAAACCTTATTACTATAGGCAAGTGTTTCACTGGATGGGTGTACCTGATTTTTAAAAGAAACAATGCAGTTGGCGTCAGGGGTATATATTATTTGCATGCAGTGTCTTACTAAGAGGAAATACCAAGTGACTAATTTCTTAATGTCTGTAAGCCTCAGTTTCCCATATGTAAATTGAGAATCATAATAGTATCTTCTTCCTACAGTTACTTGAGTATTAAATGAGATGAAGCACATATAATGCTTAACACTGTGCCTGACATCAGAGTATGCATTCAATACTGTTTTTAAAATGTTTTAAATCTCATATTGATTTTAGGTGAACTTTAATTTTTTTCTTATACAGAAGATTTAACCAATGGTTCATGTGATGATGTCCTAAATGCTGAACAACTTCAGAAACTTCTTTACCTGGTTGAGTCAACCGAGGATCCTGTAATTATTGAAAGAGCTTTGGTCACTCTGGGTAACAATGCAGCCTTTTCAGCTAACCAGGTAAGTACCATAGTCTCAGCAAACTGGCTCCTCCCATTCTTAAACACCAGCAGTAATTGTGACCATAGTAATGTGATTATTAATAGGTTTCTAGATACCTATTAAGTTGGTCATAGGTATCATACTTTTAATAAGTATCTAATTAACACTTAGCATTTCATGGCCTTTTTAATTATTTAAAATTCAGAGGTAGGACAGTGAACACATCTAACATTTAAGTACATGCTTTACACTTTATATAGCTCTTATGAGGGTGATTCTGAGGCAGGTGGTCCCTGGACCACTTACCAACCACTAATCAATATAAATGGCTTCTACAAGTAGACACTTAACACCAAGACTAAAGAGCTTAATTCAAATACTTTCTTCCAGCCTCTGCCCTCATAAGAGTAATTTTTGTAGATATTTTTAGCTAATGCCCTTTGTTTTTGTCATGAATGCAAAATTATTTTGAATTTATACTTTCAGTTTTCTGCAGTATGGCAAGGTTTACTGTAAAGCTCTAGAGATTTATAATGAAATATAAAGACTCTTTGTGTGTTGCTCACATTCTTTCAGTTGCAAGTGACAGAATCTAGCTTAAATTATTTTAAACCAAAAAGAGAATATATTGAGCCTAGTTAACTTGGACATCCAAGAATAGCATTGGTACAGGCACAATGAATACAGTTTAAGCTTACCGAAAGTGTTATCAGAACTCTCTTTCTCTATCTTTTGGCTTTGCTTACCCCTGCTTCTTTTTGTATATTGGTCTTTGTCTCTCTGGCCACAAAGAGGTTTTCTTCACGGGGATGGAAAGAGAGCCACTGGCCTCTCAAGCCTTCATCCCTGTAGCTCATAATCCAGAAGGTGGAGCTGCTGTGCCAGAATCAGGAGCCACCCCTTTGCTGGATCAAGGCACTATGGACCATGATTAGCAAGGTTTGGCTCACATGAGCATCCATCAGCCAAATATCATGGATGAATGTAAACACAGTTGACCAGCAGTCCCGCCAGGGACTATATGAGATAGAGGAAGTGCCATGTCTACCCTGGTGGAAACTGGGGTGCCAGGCAAACAAAAACAACAGATGATGACTAATTTATTAGCATGCCCATGTAGGGTATTTCTGTTGCCATAGTTTTATATCCCTCTGAAACAAACTGCACTCATAGTGAGTCAGTAGCCACTGATGAATAAGTACTTTCTTGGGTAATGGGAGTTAGTGCCCCTCCTCATCAATTATAGTACCTTTATTTGCTTTAGCAGTACAGTTTAAAAAACAAAAACAAAAAACGTTTTCTAGTAACCACAAGTTCTTGGGAAAAACCAGGACCCGGAATCACCAAGGAAAAGGTTTTCTTCTCTCAGTGTTATGCCCGCCCTTCACAATAGAGTGGTGAATGGGGCTGCCGGTTAACAGTGGATGATGGCAAAATACTTTTTCTCCTTTTCTGAAAGTGTCATGTCTTGGTCTGACAGTAGTCATTTTCTTGTAAGAATCAAAGCAATCCATATGTCTTTCTGATGTTGGGGCCAAAGGTACATTGTAACACAGTGTTGCAATAGATCGTGAGAAACCCCCAGGTTATTTTCCCTTTGAAAATTTTGACACGGTTTTTCAAACTGCATGGAGCTCCAGTTCTGAAAGATGTTAATAGGTGTTGCTTTCACTCCCGACACTGAAAAATGACCTTCTTTTTGTGTATATTTTATAGAAATAGTTGTACTCCCATCCCCCACACAGTTGAAAATCCACATATAACTTTTGAGTCTCCAAAAACTGAACTGCTAACTAATAGCCTACTGTTACCAATGATATACACAGGTAGTTGATTAACACATAATTAGTGTGTTACATATATTATAAACTGTATTCTTATAATTAAAGTAAGTTAGAGAACAGAAAATGTTATAAAGAAAATTATAAGGAAGAGAAAATACATTTACAGTGTTTATTGAAAAAAATCTATGAGTAAGTGGACCCATGCAGCTCAAACCTGTGTTGTTCAAGGGTCATCTGTACATATTCCGTACTCCTCTCTTAAGAGATTTCCCTGTGGACATGAGCATTGATGCATTACAGTAAAGAAACATGTTTACTCTTGTTATACCCAAAGTTTCTCACACTTAACCACAAAACCTCCCTTTTTAAAAATGGAACATCTTTTAACATCTCCAAGGGCTAGTGTTCCAAAGAACACATTTTATCAAAACACTGCTTTAGTATTCTAAATCATAGTACTTTTCCAAATTCACATGTCATAGATAAGTCATATAACTAATCTCAAAAAAATTTTGTAAGTTGCTTTGAGATCATTACAGCTCTGCAAATCTTCATTGTATATCACCATGCTATAGTTTAAATAATTACATATCTTAATTTTATTTTCAGTTGATTTTCTTTATAATATGGATGGTAAAATTTTTTTAAAAAATAAGAATTATAGATTGTATACGGGAAAGCTATTTATAGTCATTGATTTTTATTTGTTTTTGTGTATATATGCAAAGAATTCAATGAATAGGGGTGTCTATTGATGTTATGGTCCTGTTTTTTTCCCTCTTAGGTCATTATTCGTGAATTGGGTGGTATTCCAATTGTAGGAAGCAAAATCAACGATCCCAACCACAGTATTAAAGAGAAAGCTTTAAATGCACTGAATAACCTGAGTGTGAATGTTGAAAATCAAATCAAGATAAAGGTAAATTATCTGAAATCACAAATGTGTGAGGTTATCTATAAATGAAAAATAGCAAAGATAAATAATGTAATTTTAGTAGACTATCCTTTATACTTTATGGCCAAGAATTACTTTTACTTTTTTCCAAGCTTTCTTGAAATATAACTGACATATAACATTGTGTGAGTTTAAGGAGATGATTAGATACACGTATATATTGCAAAATGATTACCAGCATAGCGTTAGCTAACACCTCCATCATTTTACGTAATTGCCCTTTTTTCTCCCCCTGTGGTGAGAACATTTAAGATCTACTCTTTTAGAACTTTCAAGTATATAATACAACATTATTAACTATAATCACCCTGTTGTACATTAGATCCTCAGAACTTATTCGTCTTATAACCAGAAGTTTGTACCTTTGACCAACGTCTCTCTATTTTCCCCACCCCATAGTTCCTAGCAACCACCATGCTACCCCTGTTTCTAGTAGGCTTTTTTAGGTTACATAATGTATATATGTATATATATAAGTGAGATCATTCATTATTTGTCTTTCTCTGTCTGACTTATTTCACTTCACATAATGTCTCCAAGGTCCATCTATGTTGTTGCAAACGGCAGGATTTCCTTTTTTTTTTTTTTTTTTTTTTTGATGGCTTAGTAATATTCCATTGTGTATATCACATCTTCTTTATCCATTCAGCCATTGACGGGTATTTAGGTTGATTCTATGTCTTAGCTATTGTGAATAATGCTCCAGTGAACATGGAAATGTGATATCTCATAAAGATAGTGATTTCATTTCCTTCAGGTACATTCCCAAAAGAGAGATTGCTGGATCATATGTTAGTTCTATTTTCAATTTTTTGAGGAACCTCCTTAGTATTTACCATAGTCATTATACCAGTTTACATTCCCACCAACAGTGCATGAGGTTTCCTTTTTCTCCACATCCTCGCCGACACTTGTTATCTCTTGTCTTTTTGATCATAGCCATTCTTACAGGTGTGAGGTGATATCTCATTGTGGTTTTGATTTGCACTTTCCTAATGATCAGTGATGCTTAGCATCTTTTCATGAAACTGTTAACCATTTGTATGTCTTCTTTGGGAAAATGTCTGTTCAGGTCCTCTGCCCAGCTCCAGAAATAACTCAGCTGGCCCATATAGTAATCTTGTTGCTTTTCACCATTGAAATGGTGAAAAGATTCAGAGATAATAAGGATGACATTTTAGGAAATGCTTTGAAAGACATCAGCATCTTATGAAAAAATATGATTTATAAAGAGCTAAAGAAATGCTATTTTTTTTAAAGGATGGGTGTGTCATGAAATTGTGACCAAAGAGAACCAGCTGACTTGTAACTATTTAGATCTTGAAACTAGATTAAAAATTTAATCTGTCTTTGCTTTACTGCCATTACTTTATTAAAGTAACATGGAAAAATTTGGTTATTTAAGAGTTAGTACTGGCTGGTTTCCACTGCCACACCTGAGAATGAGGTGCCTGTTGCTGGGACCATGCCCTCTGCTCTCCAAGACCATGAGTCCCATCCCCCTCACCCCAGGACCGTGACCCTGCACCTGCCGCAGGGCCCCCACCTTGGTGGTTGATAGTGCCGGTGGAGGTCAGGGTTGGGGAGAGCCCCCTGAGCACACTCCTTGGAAAGAGTTGATGTCAGGTCATGCAGGTGCTTTCAGCTACTCCTCAGTGGTCAGCTACATTCTCCATGATTTCAGGGAGAATGCTGAAGACTCTAGATTCTTCCCAAACATGAGAATATCACACCCACTCCTTACCCATTTTACGGGGAGAGAAAAAAAAACAAAACTAAGGCACCTACTCTGGCCCCGGAAATCATCCCTAGGCCTAGTGACGTCATCTACCTTTGAAAGATCAAGAATTCTCCAAAGTTGGTTCAGCTTTCATCTATCTGCAGGACCAACAGAAAGTGATCCTCAAAACTGAAGATAAGACTACCCATTGAGTCGGGAATAAGGAAAAATGAAGATAGCAAATTCGACAGAGCCACACAACTGCAGAGGAATCCTACATCAGCTCCAAAGACTCATAAACCTCGCTCTCCATTTCTAAACTTGGATAGACCTCCAGGGACCTCAGAGGCTCCTCAGACATGTAAGGACAGAAGGACCACAGGCAGAAATAAAGAAAATAACCAGCCCCAGATGTAATAGTGCTAATTCAGAAATGGGCAAGAACTGTAAAAAATGTTAAACTAATGGAACCTTCAGAAACATTCAGGACAATATTGTATCCATAACACAAGAACAGACAGCCAGTACAAGAAAGGCTTGTAGGGAACTTAAAATATAATTTTTTAAAGAAATAAACCATAAAATTCAAAGAACCAGCCAAGTAACAGAATGGACACAAGTGTATAATCTACAGGATGTTTGAGGAAATCTGGAACACAGGGACAGGATGAGAGGGTTTCTGCCTCCAGTGATGGTGGATGGGGCAATTTGACACCTGAGGAGGCAGCATATTAAAAATCTTCTGGGAAATATCCAAGCACTGAGCAAGATATGGGGAAAGATGGGAATCTGCTTCAGCTCTGAAGAGGTTTGCCAATGGAGAAGAGGGTCTGAGGAGATGAAGCTGGCTTCGACCCAAGAGCGAAGGGCCCAGGCCTGCAAGGGAGAACCATTCGCTGATCATCTCAGGGCTGACCCTCAAAGTCATGGTGAAACAGCAGCAATCAGCTGTATGGAGACTCCATCTTGGCTGTGTGACCTCAGGGGGCCCAGAAGCTGGATGACTGGTTTCAGGAGCTGGTGCCTTCCAGAACACAGCCATTTGCTGTGTGTCGTCTGCGGTTGCTTTGCATGCAGAGAAAGAATTGAGAGGTTGCAGCAGAGACAATGTAGAGCCCGGAATGCCAAAATATCTGGTCTTTTACAGAAAATGTTTACCAAACCCTGGTCCACCAGGCAGAAGGGTTCCTGCTTCATACTTAATGTAGGGACGGGAAAGAGGAGAGCTGTCAACAATGACTAGTAAAGAAACACATGGAAATTATAATTTTAGGTAGTGATAAGTGCTATGGCAAGTACAATATGGCAGCAAGCCAGTTATTGAGGGGAGTGGTGACTCGTTTGGACTAGATGGCCAGGGAAGCCCCCCGCGGAGGTGTGTGGAGAGGGAAATTGAGCTGTGCAGGGAGTGCAGTGCATGAAGATTAAAATCCACGTTAACGGGGTTCCAGACCATCTGGAGAGGTGCTGAGCAGGGTTGGCCAACACAGGTTGCGGGTACAGAGGAAGCTGGGTTCCCGGTTGGCTGAGGTGAGTGAAGGACAAAGGCATTGCATGAGATGAGGTCAAGGAACCCAGGCCATGGTTTTAAAGTAAGAGAGAAGCACCAGTGGAGATAAAGTGAGCCCAAAACTCAGCTTTTCATGCTACAAGACACACGTTCATTCACCAAATGTGGATCGAACACACTTTCTGTGGCAGGTTTTTCTTACAGAAATTTCTGTAACAGTATCTCCCTAAGGGCTGTCCTCGCCACAAAGTAGGGTCTGCATTTCCTCTCTCTTGACCCCTAGTAGGGTCCCGACGATCTCTGAAATAATGCTGCCATTATGCTCTGTAGTAAGCTGGCAAAGAGGCTGCTTCTCCTGGGGCTCTAGCAACCCCCACATTCCCATGCAGAGTCCCAGGAGGGAGGTTGAGATGTGAAAGACGGCTCAGTCTGCACTCCCAGCTGACAGTCCGCCCCTCGGTATGCATGAGCCCCTGGGAAGTGGGTCCTCCAGCAGCACACACTGCTGAGCAGGGCCTGCCCAAACTGCAGATTCCTGAGCAAAACTGTTGTTTTGTTTTAAGCTACTAGGTTTTGCAGTGAATTGTTACTCAACCACAGTAACTGTAGCACCTCCTATGTGCTGGTTGCAATATAAGTGACACACTGCCACCCAGTAACTGTTAGATCAGGAAGGAGGGAGTGTAGTGAAAAAAACACAAGGCCCCGACGCAGTGCAGAGCTGGACCCCATCTGTTCTGCTTGTGCGTTACGACCTTGCTGGTAGACAGTCTGGTCCCTGAAATGGTTCTTGCTCTGCCTGGTAAAAGCCACTAAGTGGGAGCCCCTATGTCATTCTGGCCGATAATGCCATAGCTTCAATAGCTCTGAAAGGCAAGGCAGTTATAATGCTGACTATAAATATATTCCATATTTCATATATCAGAAACAAAAAAATATGACTTTTCTCACTCTGCAAACTGGAGCAGCAAGGACAATTTCACATGATATAGTAATGATATCAGATTTCTGACCATGGCAAAATAATTTATTGAGACGCTTTTGTTTTGAATTCACTGTATGTTGCCCACTGTAAAAAGAAGTAATGAGATTGGGGAGCAGAGTGAAGAGGAACTGGTGGAGAGTGAGGGAGGTGGGTGGGAGGGTTGCCAGAGAAGTACAGGATGCCCAATTAAAGGTGAATTTCAGATAAATAAGGAAGAATTTTTTAGTATGTTTATCACAGTATTTTTTACTTGTGCTTTTGTTATTTTGGCAACCGTACATAAGAGACTAATTACCCCTCTTCAAAATGAGAGTTAGACATAGGTGAAGAATTCAGCCTGCTAAAGAAACTGCTCCCAGAATATGTGGTCAGATATAAGCAGGTTCTTTGCTGATTGTCAGTGGTTCTACAAAGTAAATTAAATATTTACTACGTGCCAGAAATTTAAAGGATGACAAATAACCACACATCCAGAAGCCAGTTGTCATCTGCACATCAGAAACTGAAGAATATTCCACCTGAATCCCACAGATCTCTGATGAGCATGCCCTGCCCCGTCCTGCATCACTCAACTTTTTTTTCAAATAAAAATTATTAAGTACGTAAGGTGAAAAGCAAAGTTAATACTGGCTAATGGGACAATTTGTAATTTCTTAGCATTTTATATTAGGAAATTTTTCTTACTAGTTAGGACTTTTGGTGGAGTTCAGATTTAGTTAGGTGAATACCAGTTATCTGTAAGATATAATTTTTCCACAGTAGAAAGATCATGGCCAGACATAGAAAATAGAGTTTCAGAAAATTTTCTCTGATACTGGATTTAGTTTTGTCATGTGTGAAATAAGAGTACTGCCAGCATTGCATTACTTTGTGCCAGTGATGGTTAACAATATTGTGAAGTAGTTCATATACATACACCTATGTCAGTAAGAACCGTGGGCCAAATATCATTTTGCCTGTGCTTGCTTTTGATAGGACTCTAACGAAGACTTCTATTTCATTTTGCACCCTGCCCTCCCCGCCACCCCCCCACACCCTGTTCTTCTAACTTGATGTAGCTCCTAGACTTTACTGTTAAGGTACTTACCATGATACAAAGTGGCCTCGCACAAACTCCTCCTTAATTCTGGTGTGCCCAGACCAGATGACAGAAAGGTAGACTGAGTTGGGAGGCCCCCAACAAATGAGAGGCCACTTGGTACTGAGAACATGGCCTCTGGAATTGGACATTTCTCACACTGGGATCTTCAGTTCCCTGAAGACTTTAAAGCCATTTTCTGTAAGATGGCCATAATAACACCCACCTCATTAGAGCTGTCTTACAAATTAAGTGAGGTATATTTTTGAAATGCTCAGCACAGCGCCTGGCTTTTTAAAAAAGTCACCAAACGTGAGGGTTGGATAGAAATGTCATCTTTTCTGAGGAGCCAGTCTTATCCTGAACAGTCACCCTACTCCACTTTGTAGAAAAGTTACTCTTCAAAAGAAAAACTTTGGAGATTCTAAGATGCTAACTTTTTTTTCCCCTACCTCCAGATATACATGAATCAAGTCTGTGAGGATGTCTTCTCTGGCCCCCTGAACTCCCCCATGCAGCTGGCCGGGCTGAGACTGTTAACAAACATGACAGTTACCAATGACCACCAGCACATGCTGAACGGTTACATTACAGACCTGTTCCAAGTGTTGCTTACAGGAAACGGGAGCACCAAGGTACAAAGGAAACAGTTATTATTTGAAGTACGGAGAGCTATAGCATCAAGCTTATAAGATTGGAATTGAATTTACAGGTCACCTATCTTAAGTTGATGGCCCTCAAAAAACGAAAGTTTATTAAAAACCATTACATGGGTCCAAAAAAGAAATTATTTTTATTCCATTATACTGAATTTCAAAATTGACTTGTGAAAATAATCTATTTCACTTAATCAATAGATTGGTATTCATTTGGTTTTCTGCAAGTCAGTTTACCTTTTACTTAAGTGAAGTAGCTAGCCACCACCCATCATATATAGGAACATTGTGATTAAGTGATAGTGCTGGGTAATTGAATTTTTGCCTACCTTAGGGTTAAAAAAACATTTTTTTGATTCAGACATTATTGGTTGAAAAATCTTTCTAAAAACACTTTTAAGTTTTAGTAATGGATGTCTCAGTGCTTCTCTTTGACCTGTTAAGTAGACATAGGCAACAAATTGAGCTGAATTCAGTAGGATCTCAGGAGACAACCTATGAAAGTTACTTGAGTAATCCCTTATATTAGTGTGCATTCTTATCAAATGCCATTTTTCAAGAAATAGCATAAAAACGGAATAGTCTAATCAAAGGTTCTGATTAGTTGTGTTGATCTGTCAGTGTTTTACTATATTGGTCTGTTCTCTGGCACAGTGAGAGAGAAATGCACAAGCATTTTTTACCAAATGTGAAGCCAGACTCCAAATATTCAATGTCACTGAAGTTGTTTCTGAGGTTATCAAATTGTGATTACAGGAGAGTCTTACTATAGTCCTTTTAAAATTTGTTCTGAGATGTTTTTATATGGGCTTTCCATGTTTCCAGTAGCCAAATTTATTTGGATCTGGTCCAAGATGTACCCAAAGCCATTCAAAATTAAATGTAATATTCTTATTAGCAATATTTTAACGTTATTGTTCCATCCATCAACAATTTCCAAAAGGCACGCGCCCATCACAATCTCTCCAGTGGAACAAGGTTACTCCAGCCTTTGATGGTCCATGGAAACTCCCTTCCCTCTCTCCCATGGCATTACAGCTGTAGGAAAAATCCTCTGCCTTTCTCTGTAGCTGCCTTACCCAAAACCTCAGGAACACTGTGTTCAAAGCCAGGCGAGTCTGTCCTGGGGGCTGTGTATATCTGTCTCAGACATGGTCTATGTTTTAATATATTTTATGACTTTTTAAAAGGTGACTCACACCACAATAGTATGTTCTATTTTTGTTTTGTTTTTCCATTACATTGCCTAGAACGGTATTTCTGGGATAAAAAATTTGCTTTTTTGGTCTGACTGGGAAGCTAACCAATTATAACATTGTTTCTTCATAAAAAATGAGTTTAAAGTTCCAACTTGCAAATGAACTTTGGATAGTAATCCATTTATAAGTGAGAAAATGTAACATTTTAGACATTTTCTTAGTAAATAACCACCAAAATGACTTTAAAATCATATTTTTAATAAGCGATTTCACTGTACTATATAATAACTTTTTGGTTCATAACTAAATACTAGTGGAAAATTAATGTAGATAAACCTAGTGTTTGCTACATCTGCGGTGAGCAAAGAAAACTAATGGCTTGAAATAAATATCCTGGAGTCACCACAAGGTGGCACACATAAGAGAAAGACAGGACTTAATATGGTTTCAAACCAAAATACATATAGCTATTTAATCTGTAGTTGTATTCTGACTTTTTATATACTTTTGCATGTTTACTTCCCTTCTACAGAGGATAGCAACATGGAATTTTAGTTCGGGATACTAAATAGCTATTGCCGACCCTATTTCCTGGTTGTAAACCTGCCCTGTTTACCACTAGGGGGCCTTTTACATTCTATTGACTTCATCAGGCTTATTTAATAGGTTCAGGATCATCCTATTTCAAAACTCGTCCCTGTTTTCTTAATTAAAACTTCATTGATGTTGGAGACAAATGTTTATTCCTAATGCTTATTCTCCATGTTGCTGGCAGCCAGTCAGGCCAGACCCAATCTGACAGTGACTCCAGGAAGTGCACTAAAGAAAGGTCAGAAGTCATCTTTACACTTTACCTTAAGAGGCTGTAATTTATGGAGGGTACTTGTTAGAAAAACATGATCTCCACACACACAAGAAACTTACCCGTGGTTTCCCCTGGGGAGTGGGGCAGGCAGATAGGGCGGTGACTTTTGTTTTTACTTTGTTCCCTTCTGCACTGTTTGAAATTTATCATGACCATTTATTCATTTAATTAAATTTTCAATGGTTGATAAAAATAAAATTAAGCAAAGCCATATATCCTCCTCCTTAATGAATAAATTAGTATGCACAACATAATAAAAGGAATATGTGAATATATAGGATAGGTATGTAAAGATCAGAGGAAGAATACAGAAACTTAATAATGATCATTTCTGGTCATGGAAATATGGGTGAATTTCCTTTTTCTTTGTGCTTTTCTATCTTTTTTTTTTTTAATGTTCTATAGTAAGCACATAATGCCTTCGTAATCCAAGAAAGTTTTATAAAATAAGCATCCAGGTTCCTTCCCAAGTCTAGTAGGGAACCCATTTGTCACCTTTTTCTGACTTCAGAACCCCCTCCATGCTCCTCACTTTCTGTTAATTTCAGGTATCTTATAGAAGTATAGTTCTACATGACCTTTATTTTTAAAGTAGGAATTCTACTTGAATGTTTTTATTAGTAATTTTTCACTTATAACTGATAAGAATGCTGACATTTTAACTACTTGCTCTAATATAACATTTGTTTGCTGCTTATTCATAGCACTGCCTATTTAAATGATTGTAAAACATTTTTCAAATTAAAAAAAGGTAAGGTCAAAGATTCATTATGACCTAAAAAGAGCTATATTGTGATTTTAGTCTTAGTGGTAAACTGTTCCAAAATTTTCATACTTTAAATAGAAATAAACTGAACTTTGAGACAGTACTTTTTTGTTCCAAAGATATTTCACCTAACAGTAATCATAATAAAGATCATTTATGGAATACATGTTAAGCTTACCAAGTGTTAGGTATGCATGTGGGGGGAGGGGTGGATAGTGAAGACATTCACAACATTCTCCCTAGCTCCCTAACACTGTAATTGAAAAAATAAGGTTTAAATAAAACTGCTGTATGATTAAGTGCTCTGAGAGAGGTGCCAAGTGTTACAAGTGTGTGTGGTGGGGGAAATGTAGCTTTTACATAAGATGAATTGAGAAGGCTTCATAGAATTGAGATAATTTGAGCCAGACCTTGAAGCATGGGCAGGACTTTAAAATGTGGACATGGGGAGAGGACAGGGAGAGAAAATTCATGCTTGCTACTCTGAAATAAATCAGTATTATTCTCATTTCAGGTTCAAGTTTTGAAATTGCTTTTGAATTTGTCTGAAAATCCAGCCATGACAGAAGGACTACTTGGTGCCCAAGTAAATAGTTTACATATTTGTTTTGTAAATATACAAATGTAGAGATTTAGACAGATCTGTATAGATTTATCCCTTTTAAAATGTTAACAGGGATTACTGGGTGGCTTAAACAACAGAAATTTTTCACAGTTCTGGAAACTGGAAAGTCCAGAATCAATGTGCTAGCAAATTGGATTCCTGTGAGGGCCCACATCAAGGTTTGCAGACTGCTGCCTTCTCGCTATATCCTCACATGTCAGAGCAGAGCTCAGGTCTCACCCTCTTAAGGGGACTAGACTCCACCCTCATGACCTCATCTAAACCTAATTACCTCCCAAAGGTCCTGCCTCCAAATACCATCATGTTGAGGGTTGGGGAGAACACAAGCATTCAGTTCTGAGCAATATTGTGTGATGGGGTTTTGGGGGGGGGCGGGGGGGTTGCCTATATGAATTTCCTAAATTTTTTGTAATGAGCGTATTTTACTTTTAAAATTTTTGAAAAGTTCTCCCTAGAAAAATTATGTTTCTGTCTCTACTCAATTAGGAAAATTACATTTTTACATCTGTTTGTGTTCTCATGTATCTTAGTATCCACTGACTGGCTAGTATTTATTGAGTCTCTGGTATGTGCCAGATGCTGGACCGAGTGCCCAGGTATACCAGTGAGCACAGCATAACATGGTGCTTATCCTCATGGTGCTTACGATGCAGGGAGAAGAAATAAAAATATGTAACCAAGATAATTAAAAGCTGTGATAAGTGTTCTGAAGGAAGCAAAGGTAGTGCAGAGATAGAATGGACCTCAACTCCTATGGAAAAAGGGATCCTGTTGTATTCATCTGCTCATCCCTGTGCCCTGCAGTGTAGGTGAACAGTAAATGGTGAATTAATGAAGACTGTATGATGGATGTTAAAAAGGAAATGGATGTTTTTCCAAATGATTCCATTCTAGGATTCCAAGGAAGTAGTATTTTTCAGCTAAAGCACAAAACCTCCTTTCCATTGTTATACCATGTGGGAGGTGTATAAGATTTTACATTTATGTTATACAATTTTAAGGATAGTTTTCTATGACAAGATTTTAAAAATGTATTCAGTGCAGTTTTAAAATGTGAAAAAATACATGAAAAATACCTTTATATATTAAAATAATACTCATTGTTTCCATTTCAGGTGGATTCATCATTCCTTTCTCTTTATGATGGTCACATGGCAAAGGAAATTCTTCTTCGAGTTCTTACTCTATTTCAGAATATAGATAATTGCCTCAAAAAGGAAGGCCATTTAGCTGTTCAGCCTACTTTCACTAAAGGTTCACTGTTTTTCCTGTTATATGGAGAAGAATGTGCCCAAAAAATGAGAGCTTTAGTTAATCACCATGATGCAGACGTGAAGGAAAAGGTAACAATAATACCTAAATTCTGACTGGTTGGTCATATTTTTCCAAAAAGTAAAGCAGTCTGGAAGAAATGCACAGAAACATTTTTCATCTTCCTTAAAAGAGATTCCTTCAGCTGCTGAATTTAAACAGTAAATACCATGTTTCATCACTTACACAGGTATAACTTGCCATGGTCTTCTGGTTTATTTTGGACCATTTTATTGATACCAAATGAATATAACAGCTTGTTCTGAAACATTTATTTCTTTGTTGCTATTTGCTGAAATACTTTATTTCCCTTACATGAAGTGACAGTGACCTTATTATGTGTAAGCTACCCTTCTGTTTGCTATGATTTGAGAGCATTAGTATATGTTTCAGAACTGCTATAGGAATAAGCTCTTGAGTCCACCTGCCAGCCTAGCCATACTGCTTTCCAAAGTCTATTCTAATCATTAGAATCTATTCTAGTCAATGAAAATTGTAAACTTGTAGAAGAAATGTTCCCTAGTACTTACCCACTCCCATTCATTGTGCCAGTATGTAAAGACGTGTGTATAAAATACTGAAATTAATCAAAATGTCCATCTGTAGGTAGGTGGTTAAATCAATTATGTAGTCTTAACAAAGCAGGTCTGAATGTACTAATGTGGAAAGACACCCATGAAATATGGATGTATTTTTTAAATGAAAAATATTTATGCTTATCTATGGATAGAACACTTCTAGAATGATATAGACTCCTGGGAGTGAGACTGGGGAGTGAGGAAATGACTTTTCTATGTACACCTTCTACTGTTTGAATTTTTTACTGTGGCATAAATTTTATAATAATTTTTTAAATAAAAAGGAAAAAAGTTATATTTTCTCCCCTTAACTGACACTACTTTATTAATTTTCATCCATATTTTACTTGACTAGAATTACAATATATGAAAATGTCTCAGCTGTCATAGCATTTTTATTCCATAAGCTACTATAACAATTTATTAATATTTTTGAATTCAGCCAGGTTTTATAATATTCAAGTTCATAACCACCACCATGCGTAGTATTAAGTAAACCAGTATGCAAGCAGAAGCCTTCCTATTAATGTATTTAAGGCAAAGCTTTAAGAGTACTTTAAATTTCATTTGTAAATACATGGATTTCCATAGGAGGTCACAAATCGTCAAACATAAAAATGTGTATTTTTCAGGGTTATCCTGATAGAGAAATCAAACTTGGAGGAAATATTTTTACAGTAGAAAAGGAGTTAGTATTAAGATTAAAACATGTAAATTCCCAATTGGGTACAGTAGTAATGTACACATAATGGCTAAGAATAATACTTTTATTGATCAGTGATACAAACATAAGTATTAATTCCCTGAAAGGTACATTTCTTTATAATAATTTTTTAAATCTCCCTCATTTAATGAAAATATGTATTCAGAATGCACACATTAAAAACCAAGATTTGGTTTCAATGTGCTTTAGCAGCATTGGATTCTAAAACTGTCTGTTCTTTTCCTCTGATTAGTTTGAATAAATAACCAATTTCCTGGAGATCATAGCATTGAGTCTGAAATGTCAAAATGCTAGAGAAAAGGGGAAGTCGTTTTTAACTGCCCAGAAAAAATTACATAATGACCATGCACAAGCAGATCTTTGTCTATGGCACATCATGGCTTTTATTAGATGGGATTTCTCCAAATTGATGGTTCCACCCTCTTGGGCGATGAGGAATATCATTGTTCCTCAGTTCCCACAGGAGAAAGGGAAAGTTCAATAAAATCTCACATACTGGTATGGATGCTAGCTAATCAAAGAGGAAAATGGAATTGACTTAGAGGGTAAGACATTAAAAGGTATTACTATGTATATTAGGCTGAATGGAGGGTAAAGGAAGGATTGGTCTTATTTTTCAAAAATTTGTTTTCACTTTGCACATAAACCCTTCAAAATGTAGGTAAGTGAAAGATAAAATGGGAAGAACCACTCAGTAGTGAGATTCTACAAGGAGAGATGAAGCTCAATGTCCTTCTTAATGATAAAACGTCAAAGTAGAAGGAATGTGAATGGTTATTAAAAATTAAAGCTTGTGAGGCAGCCGCGAAAAATGAGGCAGGCCCAATTAAGTGGAACTAGAACACAATTTAAAGTGCTTAGAGACCCTCAGTTAAATGGTACACATGAATACAAAAATAATGTTAAGGCCATTCACGGAGAAGAAATAATTGAGCAAGATGTACCTGGCTTGCTTCGTAGAGCAGAGGTAAGATGATTTTCAGTCAGCATGCAACAGCGAGGGAGGTGACCACAAGAACACTGGCTAGTATTCGAGCTATATACCCCAGAACAAATCTACCACAAACCTAATATTCTGATCCACATCTGCTTGTTAAATGTTCCTTGGAAGTGAAAAAGTTTATGCTTGTTCAGTTTTTTTCTGTAGGTTTATCTTATGGGAAAAATGTTTGTTTAATGCCCCCAAATCACATACATTCACATGCATTACATACGTACATATTACATACACATTTCCCCTTGACTGATTTTCATCTTTGTAGATAAAAATGCTAAATTTTACTAAAGATCATTTACATTTATTATGGCTTTCCAAATTTTACAAAATGGGTGAGATCAAGTTAGTCGTCAGGGTTTAATGTCCTAATATATATATGCTTAAATCTGCAATAGGAACAATACGTTATGAAAAGCATTAGCCTATTTTCAGCTTTCAGATCTTCCTATCTGTATTAGGCAGTGATATCTCAAGAAATCTTTTTCTCCCTCATATTTTCAAAGTGCTTTTTAAAAAATCACTATTATTCACATTTTTTGGAGGTAGGTCAAAATTCTCCTCGTTGCACATGAGGAAACAGGCACAGTTAGCATAGGTGATTTGTTTCAGGGTACACAGAAAACCCATGATGGAATTAAGTAGCTAACATATAGCATGCACATATATGTGCTATAGAGCACTGCCTAGGTAGAATTTGGTGTAGAAAACCTATTTTAATTATTGATTATAAAGTTCATTTCACTGATACTATGGATCAAGAAAATAGAATGGGCCTCCATCTGGTCAGCTCTCTCCCTTAGGAAAGTTCAGAGTAATCAAGTGACTATACAGATCGCTTATAGGACTAACACTCAGGTCAGCTGATTCCCATCTTTCTTTTTTTTTTTTACCATTAGTATTCCACAGTGGCTTAATAAAAGCAGAATCATGCTTATGGGTCATGTAATATAAAAATATTAGACATCTGAATCATGTAAAACAAAATACTTATTGATATATTTAGAGTTACTGCTAAGAAACCAGAAAAAAATTGAGTGTATGGAGAGAAAATAAAATTTAATTCAAAGTACACTATATAAACATTTAAGATCTGCATTTATCTTCATAAAATATTTCCTTGCATCTATATTTGTGCTTAGTG